GTCGAGCAGCAGAACCTGAGGTTCGGGACCGTGAAGTTCAACGTAAACGTACGAAGCGAGCGGCGGAACCCGACCTTCGAGAACGGGAAGCCGCGTTGGTTCGTGAACGTCGAGTAGCAGAACCTGAGGTTCGGGACCGTGAAGTTCAACGTAAACGTACGAAGCGAGCGGCGGAACCCGTCCTTCGAGAACGGGAAGCCGCGTTGGTTCGTGAACGTCGAGAAGCAGAACCTGAGGTTCGGGACCGTGAAGTTCAACGTAAACGTACGAAGCGAGCGGCGGAACCCGACCTTCGAGAACGGGAAGCCGCGTTGGTTCGTGAACGTCGAGCAGCAGAACCTGAGGTTCGGGACCGTGAAGTTCAACGTAAACGTACGAAGCGAGCGGCGGAACCCCACCTTCGCGAACGGGAAGCCGCGTTGGTTCGTGAACGTCGAGCAGCAGAACCTGAGGTTCGGGACCGTGAAGTTCAACGTAAACGTACGAAGCGAGCGGAGGAACCCGACCTTCGAGAACGGGAAGCCGCGTTGGTTCGTGAACGTCGAGCAGCAGAACCTGAGGTTCGGGACCGTGAAGTTCAACGTAAACGTACGAAGCGAGCGGCGGAACCCGACCTTCGAGAACGGGAAGCCGCGTTGGTTCGTGAACATCGAGCAGCAGAACCTGAGGTTCGGGACCGTGAAGTTCAACGTAAACGTACGAAACGAGCGGCGGAACCTGACCTTCGAGAACGGGAAGCCGCGTTGGTTCGTGAACGTCGAGCAGCAGAACCTGAGGTTCGGGACCGTGAAGTTCAACGTAAACGTGCGAAGCGAGCGGCGGAACCCGACCTTCGAGAACGGGAAGCCGCGTTGGTTCGTGAACGTCGAGCAGCAGAACCTGAGGTTCGGGACCGTGAGGTTCAACGTAAACGTACGAAGCGAGCGGCGGAACCCGACCTTCGAGAACGGGAAGCCGCGTTGGTTCGTGAACGTCGAGCAGCACAACCTGAGGTTCGGGACCGTGAAGTTCAACGTAAACGTACGAAGCGAGCGGCGGAACCCGACCTTCGAGAACGGGAAGCCGCGTTGGTTCGTGAACGTCGAGCAGCAGAACCTGAGGTTCGGGACCGTGAAGTTCAACGTAAACGTACGAAGCGAGCGGAGGAACCCGACCTTCGAGAACGGGAAGCCGCGTTGGTTCGTGAACGTCGAGTAGCAGAACCTGAGGTTCGGGACCGTGAGGTTCAACGTAAACGTACGAAGCGAGCGGCGGAACCCGACCTTCGAGAACGGGAAGCCGCGTTGGTTCGTGAACGTCGAGCAGCAGAACCTGAGGTTCGGGACCGTGAAGTTCAACGTAAACGTACGAAGCGAGCGGCGGAACCCGACCTTCGAGAACGGGAAGCCGCGTTGGTTCGTGAACGTTGAGCAGCAGAACCTGAGGTTCGGGACCGTGAAGTTCAACGTAAACGTACAAAGCGAGCGGCGGAACCCGACCTTCGAGAACGGGAAGCCGCGTTGGTTCGTGAACGTCGAGCAGCAGAACCTGAGGTTCGGGACCGTGAAGTTCAACGTAAACGTACGAAGCGAGCGGCGGAACCCGACCTTCGAGAACGGGAAGCCGCGTTGGTTCGTGAACGTCGAGCAGCAGAACCTGAGGTTCGGGACCGTGAGGTTCAACGTAAACGTACGAAGCGAGCGGCGGAACCCGACCTTCGAGAACGGGAAGCCGCGTTGGTTCGTGAACGTCGAGCAGCAGAACCTGAGGTTCGGGACCGTGAAGTTCAACGTAAACGTACGAAGCGAGCGGCGGAACCCGACCTTCGAGAACGGGAAGCCGCGTTGGTTCGTGAACGCCGAGCAGCAGAACCTGAGGTTCGGGACCGTGAAGTTCAACGTAAACGTACGAAGCGAGCGGCGGAACCCGACCTTCGAGAACGGGAAGCCGCGTTGGTTCGTGAACGTCGAGCAGCAGAACCTGAGGTTCGGGACCGTGAAGTTTAACGTAAACGTACGAAGCGAGCGGCGGAACCCGACCTTCGAGAACGGGAAGCCGCGTTGGTTCGTGAACGTCGAGCAGCAGAACCTGAGGTTCGCGACCGTGAAGTTCAACGTAAACGTACGAAGCGAGCGGCGGAACCCGACCTTCGAGAACGGGAAGCCGCGTTGGTTCGTGAACGTCGAGCAGCAGAACCTGAGGTTCGGGACCGTGAAGTTCAACGTAAACGTACGAAGCGAGCGGCGGAACCCGACCTTCGAGAACGGGAAGCCGCGTTGGTTCGTGAACGTCGAGTAGCAGAACCTGAGGTTCGGGACCGTGAGGTTCAACAACGTTACTAACACCGTTAATAACACCGTTAATAACACCGTTAATAACACCGTTAATAACGATCCGCGATGCTCCGCATCACCCCATGGTTCCCAGATGGTGTAATTTTTTTTTATCCAGGTACCCCAAACGTAATATATATATATATATATATATATATATATATATATATATATATATATATAGGTTACTTTAACAATGCAATGTTGCAACAATCCAGAAATGCACATTTCAAATAAACTAGAATAAAAAAAAATAACCCCACGTATGTTAGCTTACTATTAGACTCGATTTAAAACTGTTTGTCTCCGTGTGCTGCAGAAGTTTTCGCGTGAAGCAAAGCCTTAACCCACGTGCGAAACGATATCAACATCGATAATTAAATCCAGGAAGCATTTAGTGAAAGTAAGAACAGCTTAAGGAACGAATGTACCGAAGAGACGGGGCGCGAGCTATTTTCGAAATTGCCCTGCATACGTCATTATATTAAATATTATAATATAGTACAGTTTTGTCAAACTTTTCACAAAAAAAACATCCGGTGAGGGCTACATAAGCTCATCATTGCCTACCTTCTTTGATTTGTATTCTTTGAGCAGATCGAATCGCGGGAGCTGGAGAAGTATCTATATGAGGATCCCGATCACATGGCTTCCCTCATGATGCGCGTAGGGGACCAGGGACTTCAACTGGTAAGTTCATCTCAGATTATAATTAATCGTGTATTTTCATTTACAGATGACCGTAGTAGTACAAAAAAAATCAGGTCTCGTCATCATATACGAGCGCCTCACATTAGGCGAGCAGTTCGGAGGTGTCGGAACCTTTTTCATTTGTTTATTTTCTCTTTATTATTTGTTTCCCCTGTGCGTCTCTCTATGCGTGGGAACAGTGCATTCCAGCTTCGTCGAGTTGCTTTGTTTTTTCTTTTTTTTTTTGCATCATAATTGAAGGGATTACAAAGTACCGTCGCCCTATGCAAAACTTTTACACATACCGGTCTTTATACGTATTTGAGTTGCCCCGTCGGCCGACATAAAGGCCCCAGTAGATGCCGCACGGGCAAATTCGAAAAGATACAAATCGAATTAAGATTGTTTTTATGTGGCCCAAATATGTCCTCGAGCGTTAATTACTAGGTTCAGGCTTCAACGGAGCCCGTTGTCATGCTTGTGTGTTTTACTAACACCAAAAACAACGCCAATGACTAGGCGTCTGCGTGTATAAACAAACGGCGAGAAAGTGACGGAAGCTGTTGTTCAACATGGCGGAACACGACTTACCGGAAGGAAAAAGGCGTTTTACGGGACTGCTCCAAACAGTATGACCATGTAAAAAAACAGCCAACGTGTTGCCCTCACTTATGACCTAGTCGTACTAAACAATCACTGAAGGAACACCGCTTGCAGATATGCCACAAAGCACCTTGAGTAACAGGTATGCTAAATGCACAATGCTAACATTGCATTTTATTGTTATTTATTTATTCAAAAATATTGTCACACATCAATAGACGGCGTCCAAAACAAGGGTGAGCTAGGTACAGCGTGTACGCTGTACAATGTAGATAAACAAAAAAAAAATAACAAAACATCATTGGGCTTAGACGGCATGACATTACAAAATGACAAGCGCATACTAAACTTTAAGAAAAAAAAACTAAAACAGTCGAAGACACACAGAAATGCAAAATTTGTTTATGCAACTAAATGGTTGTAAACTGACGCGACAGAGCAAGGATCTGTGAGCTGATTGGTAATGCTTAAAAGAAAATTATTCCGTTAATAAACAGTGCGCGGTATGGAGGAATACATAAAAGAGCCTTTCTTTTTTTAAATGTGGCGCTACAATGATGTTCTCGTGCTTGTTGCGTGTATGTATTGGATTGAATGTATTTTTTCGAATGGAAGTTTAGCATTCCCATTCACCGTGTTGGAAAACAATTTAAAGCGACGAATTTTCCTGCCTGTTTTGAGTTCAGGTATGTTTTATTATGCTTATTATTGATCCATAAAAACATGCGTAAATTGTTATTTTGGCCAACTCATTACCATTCGGTTTCTTACTAGTGGAACTGACTAAAGGTTTCTGTGATTGAATTCCATGTGCATACGAATATGTAGACACTTTGATTCGTAGGAGTCTACAAATCATGGTCACATACCTTAATCATTCGTTGGTTTAATTTACCTCCTCTCTCGTTGTCGCCCTTGTCTCTATTTATCATTTATGTTTTCTTGATTGTCTTTTTTTACCTCTCCAGTCACTTCTATTCACTGAACTTGAGAAGTTATCACTCCTGGGATAATACTGAGAAAGGTTTCCAATCGAGGCTACCTGCATTGTCTCCTTGGGGCCCAGGCACCAAATCGTCTTCACTATATTCTCCTGTGCCGCCATTTTCAAAACGCGGTATACGGCCTACAGAAATTGGCACCATGCTCAGGGGTTTATTTTTGCACTACGAAAAAAATATCGTCAACCTTAAAGGAGCTGTGCAACGATTTTAACGTTGAAAGAATTGGCATCTTCTGCTTTTGATATTGTTCACCTTGTCACAAATGACAGAAAACACACCCCCTTTCATCGAAATGTTGCGATTTCGCCGCGTAATCGCGAGGTAAAAATTAGAATATTCCCAGACCTGCAGCCGCGAGCGGCCGCCATGGGAAACACGCGCGTGACGTCACTTGGGTACCTGTATAAAAGATATAAAGTTCTGCAAATACCTGCTCAATAAAGGGTATCTTTTCCATAAATATTGCCGTCCCAACAACATAAATGCTTGAAAAACGTAGTATCAATTACAGAAATTTTTAGTGGCGCCATCTACCCGAGGTCAATAAAACCGACAGCTCGAGCAGCATCAGCGGCTAGCACGAGGAGCCGAACGAGCGCTTTGGTTTGGTTTTCCGCCGTGTCGATCTCGACTTCGAACGTCGCCGCTCGGCAATGCCGACCGGGTGCTCCGTTCTCCTGTGTCCTAACCGGACTGCACAAAGCCCTCTTGTCCGTGCTAAAAAGCTCCAGTTCCATCGTTTACCACGCGAAGAACGTCTCAGAAGTGAGTGGTGTGGAAGGATTGGTAGAAGGGACCCTGGACAGGCAGACGTGCGCGTGTGCTCCGAACACTTCGACAGCGACCGCGACTACCGTCGCCTGCCAAGTGTTCTTCGCGATGCCGGGCAGACGATGAAGAACGTCTACCTGAAGCCAGATGCTATTCCTTCGCTCCGACTGCCCCCCACTGCGAAGCGCCTCTCCCCTGCCAAGGACCCAGCCGTGCCAACGTCGAAGCGCCGAAGAACTGAGGTAAGTGTCGCACGTTCGCGAGCGGCACACGGTCGTGAACCTTTCGAGCACAGGTTTACGAACATTTTTGCTTTTGCAGAACGATGAGCCGGTGGAGGTGGATTGCTTCGAGAGGACCACACCTCGCGAGCACAGCTGTCATTGTCGTCACCGACCGGCGACACGCGACACAGCGGTCCAGGCCGACCTGCATGAAAATCCGGGACCCGCACAGACTCCGAGGCCGCCTGGCACGAAGGACAGTTCTGTGGGCACAGACCGATGGCTGGGAAAGCGATCTACCGGTACGCATCAAAAAAAGCCGCCTGTATTCGCGTGCTTGACGTCATATTGCAGGAGAAACTGTAGGAAGGGTCTTCATTGCTCTGCCAAGTGCCTTCCGACGGCACTCCACGCGAATATTGACAATACTGCGCGAATGTGCTTTTTTTTTTTTTTTTTCGCGTTTGCATGGTGTTTTTGTTTTTCTATGCGGTTTCATTTTGCTTCGAGCTCAAACGATTTTGAATTCCTTCTTGCTGTGGAAAGTGTCGAACATTGCGTCCAAAACTCCACCTTTCATGTGTTTACGGGAAGAAAAAGAGAGGAAGGGGTAATGCATTCCAGAATGTAACACTAGCCCACGCCATGACATCTACTGCCCCCAGAACTTGTGGACAAATTTCGAACGAGCACATAAAGTGCCCTCAGATGACACATATGAACACACTTGATGGTACACCAGCAACAGCATAAATTCTACGCAAATTTAGTACTGTACTATTTCTTAATTTAACTGGGACATGAGGGATGTAGTCTTATTCCTTCTTGTCGTTAGGCCAGGTAAACCCTATAAACGTGCTGCTGCTTGTTGTAGGTAACTAGACAATAATAATAATCTCTAGCAAAGGTAGCGGTACACTAGGTGACCTGCAAAGCTAGACAGATAGGCTGGAGCCCTTACTTATCAGCGTTTGCTAGCCAGCCAGCCGAAGCAATAGAATGCAAATTAAAACAAATAACGAAACAAAGGAGAGGCAGGTAACACCGCCTAGATACAAAGTCCCAGTGCCGGAGCCCCCAGCACCATTCGGGACGGGAAAACAGAATATTTTTTCCAGCCGAACCCAAATGCCATGCCAGCGCGACTGAGACACTTTCAGCCGAGCGCCGGCGCAATACTCTCACCAGGCCCACACCACACACCGCCTAACTGCAGCCGATGCAGGGGGCCGGGGTCTGGGCCCTGTATCCAGGCGGCATTGCGGAAGGCACATGTTACCTTGAAAGCTAACACGAAAGTCAGTGTGCATGCACAGCCCTGGTTGGCCTTCACCTTCTTTGACTTTCCATTGTATTTCACTCTCCAGGTCTAGGTTGTCGTTTATTTCAATGTGGAATAACCAAAAAATTTTTACTATTCGAGCGTGTTGGTGCTTTTCAAAACATTTAGGAAGTGGAGACACATAAGGGACGTCCCTTATGTGTCTCCACTTTCTAAATGTTAAGAAAAAAAATGTTACTGCTAGAATGCCATTTTGTGGAGGCTTGTACTAGTCAAACAGGATGAAGAGTCGGATAAGTAAACCTCTTTTTGCCCTTCAGGCACGCAGTGGAATTCCTACGCCAAAGGTATCACCGCCCACTGGGTACAGACCGAGGACTTGGAGACACCCGACAGTAGCAGCACCACTGCCGGCAGCAACAGCACAACCACTGCCGCAGCCTTCGCCTCCACCACCACTACCTCTGCAGTGCCACCGCGAAGACCGGGCCCAGCATGTGCAATGAGCCCTGTCCTCAGTGATTCGGACGAGGAGGAGGAGGAAGAAGAGGACGACGACGACGGCGACGACTGCGACGATGACCCTCTGTGGGAGCCACCCACCAAAGGAGGCTTTGTCGAGTAAGAATGGTTTCCTCTTGGGATGAGGCAGGCTAAATATGAATGAACATTTACAGCTGGCACCAATATGTGCTGGCACATGTCTTGTGCTAGCTGAATTGATCAAAATGCCGCTTAGGCTGCCCCTTGCATGCCGAGTCACAGAACCAAACACCACAATGCAGCAGTAAGGGACCTAGTGCTCCTAGCATGGCATTATTGCCTCCTGCCTGAGTACCCTTGTTCCAGCTTGTACTGCTGCTTAATTTACCAATACAACGGATCAAGAGCAGGCCATAGCAAGAAGAACGAGAAGTGTTCCACACGACTGTGGTGGCTTTGCTATTGATTGCAAACCTTTCGGGTCGTATGTTTCACAGCACAGAATTTTTTTTTTTCTTTTCAAGAACAGGTAGGGGTAGTTGCCAGTGCTTTGCAATGGTTTCACATGCTAACAAATATACGAAAAGACAACATCAAATTGTGATCCCAACTTATTTTATGTAAATATCAATCTGAATTTTAAGGGACCATAAATAACAAATAAATAAACTTGACTAAACCATTTTGCAAATTCTTTTTGGAAGTTTGTTATAAGTAGGGTTCATCTTGGACCGAATGTTTCTGAAATTGTATTAGTGAACGGTTCAGAAAATGAACAAGGCAGCATTGCTCCTTTAGTTTTTGTAAGCCAAGCACAGAAGTGACTGTTGATCAGTAAGCACTCACAACTTTTCCAGGAGTGCCACCACTGTGTCCGGAGAGCCAGACTACAAAGAACGAAAGTTCCTCGTGTTTGAGAGCAGCCTGCGGCAGTTGTTTGCGGTCTGCCAGACGTGCTACAGCCCCTGCAGTGTGTCACTGAGCACGATTGGCACGCTCCTGACGGTGCACACCTCTTGCCCCGCTGGGCATAAGAACCGTTGGGACAGTCAGCCCTACATCAACGGCAGGCCTCTGGGGAACCTCCTCATCACCAGCTTCGTCCTGTTCACGGGGGCCCCCCCAACCATCACGCTGCGCCTGCTCCGCCTAATGAACATCGTGGTGATCTCAATGAAGACATACACAAACTACCAGCGGGCAATTTTGATCCCAGCTGTTGAACAGGTGATTATGATGCTATCTTATGAGCATTATCTGACATGCTTTTGTATCCCAATGCAGTGTTTGACCACACTGCTTGCTAAAGTACCAAGCATTTTACTTTTATCTCCCACAGGTGTGGGAGGAGGAGCAGGAGAAGCTGTTGGGAGAGCTCCGTGACCAACCCCTTGACCTTGCTGGTGACGGGAGGTGCGACTCCCCAGGCTACAGCGCAAAATATCTGACGTACTCTCTTCATGCACCCCACGTGAACAAGATCGTTCACTTAGAACAGGTTCAGGTAGGAGAGGTAAGGAAGGGATCCATCGTCCTCATTACAATAACATGTAATTTTGTGAAACAGAATTAATACACTCAGTTGCACAGCAAAGCTTCTAACTAAACCTAATGCTTTTGGCACTTTTTGTGTTTGGCAATGTCATTTGGCACTGTTGTGACCAAAGCCAGGTCGTCGTGGCTTTCGGCAACTTGGAGTGATTCTGAAAAACACAAGCAGGCAGCTTTTATTTTTTTATACTTCGGGTTTTTTTTAAAAAGATTAAATTTCGTTTCTTGTATTATGGTCACCCGCAATCTTCGGTAGACCTTTTCTGCTTCAAACATTTCTTGCCCTTTCACCCACCATGTGTCTCTACGGAATGTCACAGAAGTACTTGACCCACAGAGTTCACAAAGCTCTTGTTCCAGACATGTATAGCATTGGCCCGATGAATTGGCCTTTCTAAACAGGTTGCAAGAATCTGTTTGTCAGTGTTATATGCATTCTATGGTGACAGTGTTAGCAGACTGTGCTTGCCTACTTGGATGTGCTACCTACAGATGTCAGAAGCATCGAGGGTGTGCCTAGATAACAGACAATCTTCTGAAAGCTTCTGATGTGTCCTTTAGTGCAGTATGTGTCTGTAATTTATTCAAGCTGCGGTGTTTTAGCCCCATTTCTGGTATGGGATGTGGCGTCGCAAGGTGCTGCATCCTCGTGTCTCAGGTTGCACCATTCATTGGCAGCACCTCCAAGTAGGCAAACACCACCTGCCAGTACTAAATCTCAGTGCAATACATTGAATTTTGTGGTCTGTTTAGAGGTCAGATTCAGTGGGCCCACACTGTATAGTATTGATGCGTTCGCAGCTTTTGAGGCATAGCCGGGCGGTTTGCCTATATGGTTTGGACACCGTAGCGTGGGGTTCAATTCCCAGCAGCGGACACATTTTTAATTCTTATTTTATTTAGGGTACTGGGAGGACCCAGAACAATCTCGAAAGTTCTTGTTTTAGTCTGTTGGCACATCTGTTCTTCTTGAACTATTTATACCCGTTTTCACCTCAAGAAAAAAACAAGTTTTGCACATTGTTCATATGCAGCGCAAAGTAGTTCTTATGAGATTTAGTTGTCGGAGGAAAAAGCAATGCTTTTGGCTTTTGGAGTGTGTACGGCTTAATAAGATAACATATATCTAACCTACAATTCACCCACAAATTCTCCTACATAAAGGGGGAAGTTAATGATGCTCAGCGAGAAGCCGGATTTTTTTTTACTAGTGTTCTTCACGTGAAAACGGGTGTAGTAGGAATGTGGTAGACGGTAGCGTGTTTATAAAAGTGACTTATAGCGCCTGCCTACAGTCAGTCGTCCGGCCGAGGCCCATTGCCACCGTTGCAGGGTGCACAATATTTTCATTTTGGAGGCACAGATTCGCCTTATAAAAAGCAGCTTTTCAGTTTTACTAACATCCACTGCTTCTGTTCGTGACAGCATTACCAATACAGCAATGGTCAGATTGATCCCCAGCTCTGAAACCAAAATTTCTATCTGGCGTCCGGTGCTGAATCGGTAATGCTGCAGGATATGTCAATACATGCAGTGGACGATGTACTGATTAGAGCAACTGGAAATAACTTGTTCTACTATCCTCTGATTACAGTGTGAGGCGGTTCCCAACAGTGGAAGTATGGAGAAGGAAGGCCTGATCAGGTCCCTGGCCTTTGCAAGGGAGAAGGAGCTGACAGTGCGGTCCCTGGCCACGGACAGGCACCGCTCAATCGCCAAGCACATGAGGGAGAAAGAGCCGGCTGTCCTCCACTTCTTCGACGTCTGGCATGTGTCAAAGAGTAAATGGCATTTCTCATGGTCCTATTACCGTACATAAACAGACAACCTACACTGACTGCCGACATGGCAGAAGCAAAGTTCTGGTGACTCCAGCGTCTGCACTATCACTTGGTAATAAATGGGCACCTGTTGCCAGTTGGCAATGTTTAAAACCTGAGAAAGGTAGATGACAAAATGCCCTTGGCATGTCTGCAAGCCGTGTTGCCTAGCAGTGCTACTTCTTTCTGCCTTTTTATATGTTGGTAGTCAACCCTTGTGTTGTGACTCTCTTTTGAAGAGAAGCTGATGTGGCTTTGTAATTGGGATAAACCGTCTATGCCTGTTGGTTTCACCTACACAATCTCGACTATGATTCATTTCTCTTTGTAGTGTCTAAATTATGTCAATTAAATGAACTATAAACAGACTTAAAACTATGATTCTAGCAGCATGATGTTTTCTCTTGTGCTTTTCGCATGCACATCACTTGTTTCTTTAGTTTATTAAAATATGATGGGCAGTTTGCATTACCAGCTGACATAAAGGCAGCAGTGAAAAAAGGCGTGAATATGTTTTGCAAGTGAGATGCTTCCTTTTCCTGTGTTGAATATTTTCTTGCAGATGAGCTGTTCGAAAAACTAGACAAGTGCTAATTCTGCACACTGGTCGAACTGCAGGTGTCAAGAAGAGCCTTAACGCAGCCAGCAAGAGCCATGACTGTGGCTCGCTGGTTGGGTGGGCACAGCCGGCGGTCAACCACATGTACTGGTGTGCGACGGCGAGCCGGGGCAACCCTGACCTGCTGGTGGGTGCCTGGTCGAGCATGACAAGGCACGTGGTCGACGTCCATGCAGACCACCCCGGGATGTACACCAAGTGCCTTCATGAGCCCATCGAAGATGGTGAATGGCTGGTGCCAGGTCAGTAGACGTTTCACATGTCTCTAAAGGTTCTACTTAGCAAGTTGACTTTCGGTGATTTGGAGCAGACAGGAAAAATGAAATTCTTCTAATGAAATGTCCTTCGAGTTATGAGCAAGCACTCAAACAATACTTTTTTTTGTCCTCCACTGTTGGCAGTTTAGTAAACACTATGCATATCGCAAATGTATCTGCAAACGTCATCAGTGTTCGGTTTGTTGAAGGAGTACTTCACAACAGGCAATGCAGCTTTCTCATTTTTCAGCACTCGGCAGCTTGAAACTACAAGCAATGCGATAGTTTTTATGTCTGACCCCATTCACAGTTTCACTCTCAAAATATTGACCAGAGGTTATGAAGTGTGTCGATATCTAGATATCCGTTATACGAAACACCTTCAACTGCCAACAGCTTTGTTGCCAAATAGCCATGGTGGTGTTTTAGGCGTAGTCAGCATATTTGGATGCAGAACAAGCCTTTGAATTAACTAGGTTTGACTGTAGACTTTGAATTACCGCACCTATTTTACATAGACTTGAATGTATGATTTCCGGGACTGCACCCTTACTTGTAACTATCCAACCATTTAAAGAAAAGACTGAGTTGGAATGAGTAAAGTGTATAAATAAAAGAAATATAGACTTAAATGAAATGCAGTAATGTTTAAGGGACCATAAACACAATTAAAAAAAAAAAAGGTTTAGAAAATAGTGTGTTTGAACTCCTTGGAGGCTGAACACGCTCCTCAACGTTTTATAGAATTCGGCGACGCCTATTTCATGCCTGCAAATAAACTGGCGAAACCGAAACTAGCTATCCTCAATTTCATTTTCTGGTCCTCCGAAATCAGAAGTGACGTCAACACCGAATTAATCGGTTTCGGTAGCATTTAGTGGCTGTCAAGCATGACTTTTGCGGCGAGTGGTAGCAAAGCAGAGACGTCGGGTGCGACGTCTCTGCTCTTGGCGCGCGGACAGGAGCCGCTTCTTTTGTCTTCTCCCACACCTACCAACTGCTTCTCCTGCTCTTCGGGATGTCGCTGTCATTGCTCCTAGTGCAAAGTTTGATGGAATTTCTAAATTGACACAAGGATCAGTTCCACCTAAAACTTACCAACATTGTTAGGGATGTGCCCGGAACATATTATAACCGTCAAATAAAACTTCAAAATCGTGTTTATTGTTCCAATGTAAATGGACTAAATGTTACTCAGGTAAAATTTCGTGCTGCAAGCCTTAATCTTGCTTTCTGTTTGTTTTAGACACACCTGCCCATGCCAGGTTTGTGGACGTCGTGTCCAGCAAGTCCCTACTCAAGGACCTGCGCCAGCTTTCCCCTGACACACAAACCTATGGATTGGAATCTTTCCATAGTGTGCTCAACCGCTTTGCACCCAAGTGGGCTGCCTTTCGCACAAAAGGCATGCTCGCCAGGTATGTACTCACAGAACACATAGAGAAATGTTAGAGAAAGGAGGTGTTGGTGACTACCCACATAGCTAACCGGAAAGCAGGTGATATATTTGTGATGTGCATTTCAGCTCACTGCTTTCCGTTTTAGGATATGTTGTCATTTTCGGCATTCGTCCACTGTTATTTATTTTTTTAGAATAATAAGAAACCCTTTTAAAAGGCAACTCCACTCAATTTCGAAGATTTCGGGATAATGAGTAATTTCAAATTAAAAAGACCTAGTAAAACACACTACGTCGTTTGCTTCGCAAAAAATGGGATATATATTTTCAAACCTAATTTTAAACACGAGCGGAAATCGAAACCGAAACTTTGGCTCCGCCCGGCAACATTGGCCTCGGGCCGCCAAGTGTTGGTACCATCTCGTACCATCACGTGGTATGAGATGTCACGTGATCCTCGGCCCAACGACGGGCAGGATTGGGTCGGGCGTGTGGCTGGTGCGAGTGTCGTCTGCACCTCACTCTTTGCCACGTTTTGGTGTCTACGGCATTCAACGACGTCTGCACAACTGCGGCATAAGTCTGCACATGTGGTGTGCAGACTTATGGCTTATGTGGTGTCCGTAGTATGGATGAAACTCCGAGAGACAATAATCACAATCGGTGAGGCGATGATGGCGGTTGTGACACGGAAGACGGCGGGACCACGGCGGGCGGCCGGACGGCTCCCAAGAAACGCGCTGCGCAGGCGCGTTACACCAATCACGTGGACACCGCTAAGCGCCGAGAGGCAACGTTGCTGACGTCATGCGCTACGCTCGCCCGGATAAGTGAAAACAAGCTAAAGGGGGCCATGATAATGACATTTAGCTCAATGTTGGCTCTGCCCATGCCGTAGCCTTGACTGCGCTGTTGTTTGCGCCTGAATTCGCCCGCTCAAGTCAGCCGATTTCGGCAACTTGGCGAGTTGCAAAGTTTGCCGGACCGTTTAAGAAACATTTAGACAGAACTGCGTCGTAACATTTCACGTGTGGTCTTCCTAGGCGATACTGAAGAGGACTGCATTGTTTTTTCAAAACCAAAAATGAAGCGGAGTTGCCCTTTAAGTTCTTTCAGTGTTTCGGAATTCTTCAGAAAGACGAGAGTCTCAGTGTGAGGGTGTAACATGGTGGCCTAATTCTTTTTTTTAACATCCTGCTCCGTCAGAATCACCGTTGTTTCTCAGTAGATAGAGCGGAGTTGCTAAATATGCAACTCTATGTAGCTGCACGTATAGCCTGGTTGACCTACTGGGCAGTGCACTGGGCTCTCACGCTGGTGGCCGAGATTCAATACCCGGAACCATGGGTGCTTTTATTTTGCTACTTTACTGAAAGGTTCTAGAATGATTGCATAATTAGTGGTAAGTTCCGACTTAGAAAGTTCTATGCCCGATCGTGTTCGTTCGGATGTTCAAGAAACCAGTGTAACATGAAAGAAGAGTTGGCGGGACAGTATGGAGCCATTCATCACCAGTGCTCAACCCTGCTCTCATGCCGATATCGGTGCCTGCGACGTTCCATTATTCTAATTTGTTTCTTTGCCTTTGGGCACAGGTTCACCCCCATTAAATCTATCATTCACCCTGTTTGTTTATCGTTCCTTCGTTGGATTCGTGGCAGTGTGCAGGTTCCAGCACAGACCCAAATGACATGACTGCTATCTCCGCTGCTAAGGAAGACCTAAGAATGCAGAAGTTTCATCAAAACATACCGGGCGGCATTTCAAAGCACATACTGTTTGTGGGAGCTGCACCACATTTTGTTTGTCTGCATTCTCTATTTGTTCAGGACCCGTGTAGCAGCGCTACACTGGAATGAGAACAGCGAAAGGGAGCAGGCCACTACTAAGGCGGGTGAAAGGCAGTGGGCAGTGAGATCGCCCAAGGCCAGGAAAGGGCATCACACCGTCTGCCCCCAAAAGACAAAAGTCACATATGGTATTCTGAAAGAATTCTACTCTGTGGTCTTTTTAATTGGTATTCCTGTACTATTAGGAGATCAATTTACGTAGTGACTACAGCTGATGACTGATTAGTCACAGGGTGTGTACCAACCGGGAGAACCTGGAATTCTCAGAAGATTTCAGTCATCAGGAAAAGTCTGGGAATTATCAAGGAAATCATCAAAAAGTTGACTAAATCAAGGGAAATGACCAATGAAAGTGTCACAGTGGCGCAGAAAAGGGCGCGACGGTATCACATCAGCATAGCCATGCTGAATGTTGCCGAAACAGTCCGAGTATTTTATCGAAATAGGTAAAAATCTGGAAAAGTCACAGAATTTGACATCAGACACCCTGTAGACCAGGACAGTATCTGCCCATAAGTTAAGTGCTCAGATAAACTGCTGTTGCTCACGGCATTGGCTTCATGCATCAAGATGTGTCGTCTGCCCCACGGCATTGGATTTATACGTCAAAAAGATAGTATGTCATCTACTCCATGGCATCAGCACCTTCTAATTTAATGAGAGGCACCCTCTTTTTAATTTCACATGAGGGCCATAATCACCCACGCAAGGTGGAAAATAGGCAGCTGAGGAGGAAGAAGGTTTCACCCGTGCAAACTTTTCTTTCCGGGACAGCGGGTATAAATCTAAATGCGAGCTGACACCTGTTTTATGTGATATAGATGTGTAGAGTATACAATTCTGAGCAGAAATTTATGAAGGCGCATATGTTGTATCACGGTGCTACCGACTTTGCACCGAAACTGAAATAACTGGAAGTAAAATGTTTTGATATAAACTACAGCTATCAAAAAATATGATAAATTAATTTTTCAGATTACGTCGGAAAGCTCGTGGCTCGGGCCGTGGCAATCTGCAAGGACATCGGACCTCTGAGGGAGGTCTTCAAGCTTGATGCGAGGACGCCGCGTCTGCCAAACCTGAACCGGAGCTGCGACAGACCACCAAAGGAGGATCTGGTTGCTGCCAGAATCAGCCGTTTTGGAAAGAAGGCGCCCAACGCAACGGAGTAATGGTTTGCTTTGCAAGCGCAATACCAGCGCACTCCACTTGCTGGTTGAGTTCTTGTTGCAGTTGGGGCTGTTGTAACATGAGATGGAGTGGGGCTCTGGTCGCTCGCACTGTGTATTTGAGGAAGCTGGCATTTTGCCTGACGACTTTTCCGTTTCGAGATGCCTTGATGCAGGATCCTCGGAATGAGATAACAGTGAAAGACCTGGGGTCATAAAATGGGGTGGATTTGTTGTGCTGCTGTTCTCTGCAGAGCGCGAGTTGACTTGAAATGAAGTTGTACGTTTGTGCGTAATGTCACTTGTTGACATATGCCTTGTCGTATCTTTTCCTCGCTGCATCTGTTTGTTGTGCCTCGATCTCGGTGTAGCCTTTGTCACCAGGGTTAGGAAGTACTGGTAACATGTTGCACACTTCCCAGTTCTTTGACAGATGAGGTGGTGATGGCTTGGTGTTCACTGCGAGCACCTTTCTTTTGTTTTCGTCGGGCTGCTAGAGTTTTGTTTTATGATGCTGACGTTGTGCTTCGCCTCTTCGAATAGCCGGCCTTGCTTGAGTATTCCTTGTACGTCGAGGTCGTGTTGTATGGTATAGCGGCGCAGCCTTGAGGACTTTGTCGTGATGAGGATCTGGTTTTTAATCTCGGTGTCCAGGCCAACGAACACACAGTGCCTCGCAAGCTGCCGCAGTCAAGCGTAAAACAGGTTGAGTGACTCGCTTCCCACCTGCTTCGTCTGCTGAAAGCGGTAAACTTCGAAGCTCGTAGTTACCTGGGGTAGGAGTAAGCGTCGAGCTTCCTGCGTGTAGCTGTGTATAGAGCAGTTGTGTCGCTGCAGAACTTTGCTGCGGTTGAGACAGGCGCAGTCACTGGAGGTTCTGGTAGCATGCAGCAAGTGTCGTAGAGGTCTTCTCCGATATAGTGCAACTGAAAGGCGGTGTTCCTGGCATCATTTTGATTCCACAGGCGACCACAAAGTCCTCGAACCGTTTTACCCACATTGACCACTCAGTGCCGACATTATTGGTATCAGTGACACGAGCGTCAAAGGAGGGAAATGGGGGGGAGCGCGCCTTAGTCCATCTTGCTAGGCAGGTGTCATTTGTTGGATGCGTCGGGGTCCATTCCACTTCATTGCAGGGCGATCCTTATGCTGTTCTTGCACATTTTCTTGGCCATTTGTAGCGTTGTCTGCGTTTAGGAGGGATGAATTTCGTCCGGTTATGATTCGGAACAAAACATGTTTATTACACATTCATAGCTATCTCGGATCATGTGTCCATGGATGTGTTAGAATCTCCTAGGATACTGCACTATTGAACTGTTCATTACAGTACAGTAGACCAAAGAGGCATGGCCTGGTTTGTGCCTACCAGGTTGAAGGAGAGGGAACGAAGTATGAGCTTGGTCTGGCTTTATTTTCACAGTCCCCACTTTTTTGCAATTCAGGCAAAGGAACATACCCCCGAATTTTGTGAATTCCAAAAGTGAGAATTGAGGGCCTCTAGAGGCCAGTGTTTTCTTTCGCATGCTCCTAAATTTCACTAATCCTTCAATTCGCGAAATTCACCAAATTAAGGGCTTGCAAAAGTAAAGGGTTTTACAGTATTGGGACAGCCAGTCAGCGTGCCCATATGCAGGGCACACCAACACTCGGATACAGCAGTTCTCACACAAACCCCCAAGGGTCCTCAAGAGCATTCATGGGGGGGAGTCGTCTTCCTTGCATTAGTGCATGTCAAATCAAGGACACGAAACAGGGTGTCCGATGTTGGCACATTATTGTCTAGCGTACATCACCTTTTACACTGATTGCAAGCTGCGAGTACCACTTCATATGTAGCACAATCTGAGTACCTGCAAATGCACTATGTTTTTGGGACCTTGCCTTGCAGCCTTGTTTTGTGTGTGTTTAGTTGATACGTTTGGTTTACATCCCGTCTGCCCCCTTTTCACATAATAAGTCTTGTGTCAAACTGATAGGGGAGGACGCTCACTCGAGTCAAGCCTCGGCTAAAGTGCGATGTGCTTATCAGTTTGTGCTGAGCCCCGAGTGAGCATCCTCTCCTTGAAGCAGAATGAAATTGCCCGCAGTGCCCCCGCCAGCCACCGCCTCGGTCACGCTCTCCCAGTGGGTCCTTCGTATTGCAGCACATTGTACATGAATAGTGCAAAATAAACAGCAATGCTTCGTAAGCTGTAGGAAGTACTGAATGTAGAATGACTACATGAACAGTGCAAAATTGATTGCAATGCTTTGTAAGCTGTGGGAAAACCAGCATCAGTGCTTGAAGTTGTATGTTTGTTTTAATCAGTCGAAATGTTTTGTTGTCTGGGTGCATAAAGTAGTATGCTTGCAAAAACTTTAGTGAAACAATGTGGCGTTTACAACATTTTTATTCTACATCATGAAACCCCGTATACGTTTCCGAAGGGAATTCATCCTGGATCCTCTTGACCACGCAGGCCGGTAGAACACGTCGATTGCGACGTCCCAGCCTCCGCCACATCCACCGCACGAATTGGTGATAGGCCGCAAAACGAAGCCTGGAAAATTTATAAGGACAAAGCTGGTCAATTACCACTGATACAAATGTTTGAAGTGCCAGCCAAGACACACTACACATCTCGATGATACTATACTCAGTTTCAAGTTGTGTGCAGTGCAGGCACAGCTTTCCACAGTGTTTTGTGTGCACAAGCACTTGCACGCAGAGGGTGTGTTTGGAAGCCACGCGCTCGTGCCTGTGCCTACACTGCACACAAGTTGGGACTCCGAGTATAGGGCAGGTTTATGAAATTGAGGTGCATGTGACAAATGAAAATACATCAAGATTTACTTTGGAGTATCTAATTAAGTGAAACGCAGGACTACAGAGATGTGATGTTTTCAAAAGCTGGACGGTGCAATAAGATGCAATGAATGCCTGACCATGTTACTTGTGCACATAGGAGACTTGACCGCATGTAATAAAAAAACAGCATCATGTGTCGAGCTTGAATGTTTTGTTTTACTGATTGTCTGTACTTTGCGATTTCTGGCTGAACAATATAAGCGGGTAATAGGGCCACTTCATGCAGAGCACACCCGCCTTTTGTCCTATTACACAAGACCTTGTGCTCAAATAAACTGGGCAACTTCAGAGAGTTGTGATGCAGTCTCCTAAACGTAGTGTTGTGTTCTTCCATGGGAATATCTGCATGGTGACGTGCGTGTGCGCCACCCAAAATGTTTTGTCAGCCCCAGACTGTCACATGTTTAAAAACTCCTGCATTATAAAAAATAAGGCATACCTTTTCTTTTTTCACAAAGGGAAAACCCAAAAAATTAGACCTTGATAAACTATTCCTTTTTTTTTTTTCTTCTTTTTGTATGACTGAAATTGATGTTACAGGCACGAGTGCGCTGTCTTCGACAACGATTTGCCTTCACGAACGCGTGCTTAGCAGGCCCAAAGTTTTGCGCTCGCTTCCGTTGCTTCCTTTTCGCTTGGGATTAGTAGGAAGTGAGGTCTGGAAGTATAAGCTGGACTAAGGAGAGGCTCCGTGACCACTGAGTACTCGAGCTTCTTTACTTGGCCAGCACATTCCGAAGGATCCCAGAAAGGTCTGCACAGAGTAGGCCACAAGCATTTTGTTCCACTCCAGTGAGCATCCTAACTATGCAAAGCTTCACACAGCAGGGGACAGCTCGTCTGCATGGTCATTGCATGCATATTTGCAGACGGGAGTGGGGTCGGTACTGTGCGCGAAAGACTTGCCGTGTGCATCACACTGGCGTTTTATTACATTCTAGTCGAACTTATAAAATCACCGAACAAAATTTTAGGAGAAGGTTTCCCAGAGATAACTTTCTCTTGGTTATAAGGGAAAACCTGCGCTGGCGTATGCAGTACGTGCTAGCGGGGTCGCGTTCTGCAATCCCTGAGCGCAGGAAGCATGTCTATGAAATGAGCAACACTTTCCTACAAGGAAATTTCAAACAAACTACGCACTTCTGTTCTCGCGGCGCCGGGTGACGACCTGCCTCCTGCAGAGCCCAGAACGCGACTTCGAGCACGCCGGGCTGGAGGCCGATCGGTGCGAAGTTGTTGTGCTCCGTGATGCACCCTCCCGGGCGAGTCGCGACCGCGGGGGGACACTCCCTGCAGCAGATGCACTCTTTAGGCGTCGGCATGATGCCGCACCTCTTGCACGAGCACCTGAGATCAGAATAAGCCAGTGTCAGACGAAAGCTACCTGCAAACAGCATGTGCGATTATTACCATGCCGTCGTGGTCAGCCGCCACGAATCTGGGTCCGGAGTCGGGCTGGGGCTTCCGTCGAGCACCGCCCGCGCGTCCTCTTCACTCAGACATTTCGACGGCGTCCCCGCGTACGGAACGAGCCCCAGTGACTCGCTGTACTCCAGCATCTGGAGCTCGACCTCGTTGAGTTCGCCTCTCCAGGAGCCGGTGGCCATGTTGATCGCAAGCATGCGGTGACGCGGTCACGTGGTCGTGAGCGGATGAGTTCTCGCCGCTCACTGATGGCGTTAGAGAGAGGAATTTCCCGGAACCCCGCGCCTACCCAAGCGACGTCACTGCGCACGTGACCCGGAAGACGATGTACGAGTTGAGAGGCGGCAAAAACCTGGATCTTTTTTATTTTTTTAAATAAAAACTACGGTATCCAGGCAAAATCTGTTTTCTGTAGTTCACTTCAGAAGTGTCAGGCAGCAAATTCCACAATTATTTAAGCAAAGCCCTGAAATTGTTGCACAGCTCCTTTAAGTTTTGGTATTGCGGCGGCGTCTTCTCTCAAATTTCGCTTCATGTTGTTACAGTACGTTTTAATTATTCACCGTTCTTGTTTATTCTTGTCTTCTCCAGTAGCAATTGCTCTGTTAACCTCAGCCTGTGATCTAACGGTAACACCAGACTTTTCCAGTGGCCGCAAGAGTCAGGCTACGTCCCAGGCCTCTCGTGTAAGATCTACTGAGACGCAGCCGCCTGAAGGCAGCACTCCCAGCCTCCATAAAAACAAGGGTACATTTTGATGTACTGCCTGTTGTCTCGAATTACTCGCTCGGCTAAACCCTTCGTTGCAGGATGATATGGGGCAAAGAACTTGAGCGAAATACCTTGTTGTCGTAACCATTGCTTGAGCTTCTTGCTTCGGAAGGCTGGGCTGGTTCGTTGTCAGACTTCATAAGCTTAACGTTCTTCTTATTACGTTGTTCGCGTCTTCTCCCCCAGCTCTGTCAGCGGGTGGTTCTCATTTGAACCCGTTCGCATTTCTACCTTCTCGTTTTTACCTTCTCATTTCAACCCAACGCAAAACAACTTTCGCGTTTCTCCCTTTCTCTTTTATACCGTTCTCAAAACAAACTTTTGGGTTTTGACCCTTCTCAAACGACTTTTCTCATTTTAACCTTTCTCATTTCAAATTTTCTCAAAACATACTTTCTGGTTTTGACCATTGTCAGAAAGACTTTTCTCATTTTAATCTCTCTCATTTCGAACCCAAATTAATCCAACATCATGATCTCGCAATCTTTCTGCGGTATTTATGGCGAATTCGGGTAATTAATTGCCTTCGAGCCCTTGCCTGTGGCACCGGCGACCAAAAACGCGCCAGCGGCGCATCACGTTACCCTCTCCACCCGAATGCAAAGCACAATGAACTGGCGTTTTTATTTGACTGGGTCGCGAGTGAGCTCTGTTAACTTCTTCGATCATTCTATGGAACCATGAGCACGCTGCATACGCCAACAACATAAATTACGACTCTGAGATGAGATGTGTGTAAACAGAAGCGGCTTCACAAAACTTTTAAAAATATTGGCATTACCACAGTCCGTACAGGTGACAGAACATTAAAATATAAAATCAATGAATGGGCAGATGTATAAAGCAGTGTGGTGCTGACCGTACGCGCGTCGAATTTCAATAAACTTCGTTTGGATTTTCGATTAACTGTTGTCACGGTGGCTTGCCAGCGTCGCTTTCCATATTCTGTTTACTGTTAGTAGAGAGTTTTAGTAGATCGTTCCCATGACTCCGATAACGATACCCGATACTCCTCCACCGCCTCCCTTGCGCATGCATAGTATCGTTATCGGGGCTATCAGAACGACCTACTAAAACTCTCTAGTACCTTTTTCAGAATCCTCAGTCTTCTCATTGCACCCACCCTCCTTGAAATTGTAATGCGTGTTCAAGTTTCAAACTGCATCACTATGCATACTTTTTTTTTCTGCGGTGTAATAACTTGTTATTACAGAGTTGTAAAATAAAGTGATGTATGATGCAGCCCGTGTCTCAGAGCAAACATACCTTGCTCAGGCTGGATAAATTCTTCCAAAAACGTTGACTTTCTTTGAAACATAAATTATCTTTCTCTTCGTTGTTTTTGCTATCTTGTCTCAGAGCACAAAAGGGTGCCTGTCTCGATGGCTTCGGTTGCCACACGAACCCGCTATTTTCCACCTCAGCGAGCATTGTTTCGTTTGGTTTCCTATCCCGATTCGGATGTGACGATACCGGATACAGTATGGCAGACAAGCTGCCCGACCTCTTGGAGCTCGGGAAAACTTCTGCTGGCAAACTGCCGGTATACGCCTGAGAAGCGCAACCCGAAAAGCTTGCACCCGCCAGCCTTTGACCACGCGAACGCCCTTGCCGAAGATATGGGAAAACTTTTTTTCAGGGAAAATGACCACCCGAATTGGCCATTACAAGCAATAACACACGACTAGCACAATGATCCATCCGCTCCACACGACGACATCTTAACGACATACAGCGACAGAAGAGAAATGAAGTACCGAATCTGCGCTAGCACTTTTGAAACCACTTCACCATGTGACCACGTAGCTACGTCAACAGACACGGGGTGGCACGCAGGTATAAGGAAAATTGTTTCATGTGCTATGCAAGAGATGGTGCCGCTTCGCTACATGTTCAACCTTCATCAACTGTTTTTCCTTCTTTCTATACCTCACTACGGTGTTCAAATGACAACGGGTTCAAATGAGAAAGGGTCGAAACGCGAAAGGTTAAAACGCGAAGGGCGTTTTGCGAATGGGTTCAGACGAGAAGGGTTCAAATGAGAATGTGTTCGAATGAGACGGGTATAAATAAGAAAGGGGCGAAACGCGAAAGGTTAAAACGAGAAGGGCGTTTTGCGAATGGGTTCAAACGAGAAGGGTTCAAATAAGTATGGGTTGTTTCGAGATACACCCCTTGCAGCCACCATTCTCATGCATCCACAGACATGTACAAGTTACTCAAAAAAAGTATTTAAGTTACTGAGTATTGTCCTCAAAAGTAATTTGAGTAGAGTAGAAATTACTCAAATGGAAAGTAATTGAGTAAACTACTAACTACCGTAAAAAAGTAGTGAATTACTTTAAAGTTACTTTTGAAGTTACTTTTATATGTTTTTTTGGTAAAAAGAAAGTACATAGGTTTTGATCCGTCAGCGGAATTGTGCTAGCCAAATATAAATCGGCTTGTTTTTTCACAGAAATGCTTAAATAGCTGGTTCTGCTTCTGCGTGCCTAATTGTTTTGTACTTCCTTGTTTGTTTGGTCAATTATGTACTGCAAATGTGTCATTTCTACTTTGAGGTTTAGCACTGCCTGAGCTTGATTTGTTAGACAGTGATTGCTTGTGTACAGTGTTGCGTAAAGTACATCTTAAAAGTACTTGAAGGAAAGTACAAAGTAAATAAGACGTTATGTGTCTCAAGTAAAGTAAGTACACCGGGTGCAATGTACTTGAAGTAATGTACTATAAATTCAATATATTTGAAGATTTAAAGTACAAGTATTTTTAACACGATCTTTCATGATGACCTTTCATTCCCTATACAGTGTCTTTTAACTGGCATTGCTCCAGGGCAGGGATGGGCAGTATTTCAAATACAAGTATTTGAAATACGTATTTAAAATACTTTGTGAATTTTGCATTTGTATTTAATTACAAATTGGGTAATGTATTTGACGTGTGTA